ACACTTTAATCTTTTTTTTTACTTTGTGCTAAAAAAACCTATTATAAATAATTCAAATAATAATATTTTTTAAATAGACTAAACAGCTAATCAAAATAAATAATAATTATGATTTATTAATGCATTGATCATATGATAGTAAAAAAAATATAAATACAACTCATATATAATAAAAAATCTTTTAGAGCTTGACTGAATCATTTTAATTATTCAAGTTTGCATGCAGTTCAGTAGCACAAAAGTACAAAACATATAGAACATATAAAATTTTTTGATGATGATTATTACTGTTTCAGTTTAAAAAGAAAGTACAAGTAAAGAGTATAGAGCAAGTTTGCTTTTATTAGTTAAAAAAAATAATTAATATTTATATTAATACTGTAATTTAAATATATAAAATTAAATAATTTGATTAGCTAATAATAATAAAAGCATTATTACTATTAATGCATTCTGATTAAAAGCTTTTTTTTAAAAAAATAATTGTTTTTAGAAGTTCTTTTAAATATACAAAAAAAATATTATTTTAAATAATTTAAAAATTTTAATTTATTTATTAAAATTCTTTTTTTTACAATAATTCAAAAAAATAAAAGTCTGTGTTTAGTATAAAATTGTAATATAAAGCTAGGTTAATTTTACAAATTTATAGCACTAATATACAAAAAGCTCAAAAAAGAACCTATATCTCTTATATCTATCTAACAATTAGAAATTAATTATACTATAGACATTATTTAAACATTATTAAACCTAATAGGAATCAAAAAATAGAAAGTTTTAAACTATTAGAAATAGAAAAAGAAAATGTAATTAGAATAAATAATAAAAATATATAAATAAATAATAATAATAATAATATAACATTTGCTGAGCAGATTAAAAAACTTATAATGCTTTTATATAAAAAGCATTAGGGTCTTTTAAACTAAAATTTGATTACAATTATTTTTAATAAATGATTAAATAAGATTTCCTCCAACTTATCCTAGCTAGAAAATAATTTAAAATAATTATTTATAGCACTCATTAGGAAATAGGGTGTAATGTTACATTAGGTGTTTTTTTAGCAACACAAATGTAGTTTAGAAATCTTTATTTTAGAAATTTTTTTCTGTAATTAAATTTCTTACTGTATTTTAAAATTTTTACTATAATATTATATAAATAAATAAAAATAAATAAATGATTAAAAAGAAAGATTTATGCTTAAAAGGTTTTTATTACTAAATTATAAAGGTATTAATTTTTAATAATAGATTAGATAAGGATTAGAACTGTCTAAAATTTTATTTAATTATTTAATCATTTAACTATTTAACTATTTAACTTGGTCAGCATTAAAATATTTCTAACCCATGACCAAAATAATTTTGCCTGAACTAATTTTTAAACAGTTAAATAGTTTCAATCCCTAAGATTAGAATATAATAAACTGAAGGTATAAAAATCAGTTATAAGTTTATATTACATAATAGCAGAAATAAGAAACAAATTTATTAATAATTTCAAATTAAAAGTCAGATTATGCTTGTTAGCTTTAGGAATATCATATATTGCAATTGATATAATGTATAATATTGGATTTTCTTCCTACTACCAAATAATTCTAAATTATATAAATAAACTTGCAAATGATTATTATAAAAAAATTAAAAAATATTTCTCTAAACAGATAGGTAAAAAAAAATTAATAATTTATAAAATTATAAATAAATTATAAAGAAATAAATAATAATAATTAAAATTTAAATTAAAATAATTTTTTATATATCTATAATTTAATGATTGTTATAATATCTATGAAAAAAGAAGGCCAGATACAATAACTTTATCTAATGCTAAACATATATTTACTTGTATTTGCAAACAAGTTTCTACTTGTATGTTAGTTTTTCTTATTTTTAATAAAATATCTGTTTATAATTTTATTAAAATTGATGCAAGTAATATTTGTTTTTGGCTATTTAATATATATTATAAAATATTTGATATTATTTACAACAATTGCAAACAACAATAGCTAAATAATGAAAAATTATATTTTAATAATTTGATCAAATAAATTTGCTAATGGTTCATAATTATGATAATGCAATCACTGAAAAAAATAAAGAATAAAGAATAAATTAAGTAAGGTAATTGGCATTTAATAAAAAAGTCTACATTCTATAAATAATTATATAATAGTTTCAAATGATTTTGAATTTTAATAAAGATCTTTAATACTTAACAAATAAGATTGCACCAATCATAATAGGCTGGCTAGAACAATTATTCATTTATAAAACAATAATAAATTTAAATAAATCAAATTTGTTATATTTTATACTATTAGAATTAAATTTCTTTATTCTATTATAGGCCTTTTATGTTTTTCTAAATAGTAGAAAATAAGTATTAATAATTTATTATTCTTTTTTTAATAAATTATTTTAATCAGTTTTTGAAGAAAAAAAATTAGCAAAAAAACTAAAACTATAAAGAATAAATTAGCTTCTTGATCAGACTTATAATAGATAGTGCAAAATAAGAAATATAATAATAAAAATTTGAAACTATTTGTAACGATATGGAGTATTGTATAACTATTAATTTGTTGAATAACATAATTATAACAACATTAAATATATATATTATTCTTTTCTGGTCTAGTTTCTTTAATGTATAAATATAGACTATTTTTAGAATTAAATATTTGCTCTTAAATAAAAACAGAGAAAGTATAACAAAGTCTTATTAGTATTTCTTTTTGTTATATTTTATTAGCAAGATATCAATTATCTATTTACTGAAATTATAAAGTTATTTTTGATATATTTTAATGATTACTATATCAAAAATATGTATAGTAAAATACAATTTCACATATTCACAAATAGTAGTGCTAATGATATTATTCAACAGGCTTATATTATTAATAAGTTTTGATTTTGTTTACCATAATACTAATTTATTATTTATAATTTGTATGATAAGATTTTAGTATAGAATATATACAGTAATTTTATTAATTATATTTTTCAGATTTACAAGATTACAATGAACTTAAAAATATATTTGAAAAAACTAGACAATATCTGTATAAACTACCAACATTAAACTTTCTAACAGAAAAAACAGCATTATATTTATTAAAATACTTCTATAAAATCTTCAAAAATTATGAAACGAATAAACTTATTAACAAAGATGAGTATTGGTTAATAATTCTAGAAGAAATAATAGATTCAAGATGTTTTTCTACAGTATATAGTACTACTATACCTCTATTAATAAATGCTTATGATTATTGTTACAAAAAACTTGATAATAGTAAAGTATTAATTTGCAGTTATAAATATCATTTAGAATGTAATCAAATAATGAAAAATAGTTGCTATTACTGTAAAGAATACTATAAGCATGGAATTTATAATTAATATTAATTCTTTTTAAAAAGATTAGAAAAAGACTCAAATGTTCTCACTGTTGAAGAAAAAAAACATCTTGAAAAGACTTCAGATGAGGATAATAACACAGTGGAAGAGGTAGACCTAAATAAAACTCAAGACACAACATGATTTTTTAAAAAGCAATCAACCAAGTTAGTACTTGGTAACTTCTCAAAACTTTCGGTGCTAGACGTTCAACAAACTACTACTATTTTAGAGTTTCGAGTATTCAATATCTAAAATACTGACCTCTCATTTAAATTCTTTACTTATTGGATCTATTTGGATCTTATTTTATTAAACAACAAAGAAGTGCAAGTTTTATGTGTATACGCTGTTCTTTTTTTTCATAGTAAAAAAACATTGTTTTTCTTATGTCATATCAAATTTACTTATTACGATTATTGTAAAATTATAGTTGATCAACATAAATCTCGATCATTTTTTTTTAACCAATAAAAACAAACTTGCTCTATGCTCGAGTAAAGGGTATCCGATAAATAAGACGTTTCACGGTCAATCATAGGCTTAAATGGAAAAGATATTCGTCAGTCGGAAAAAAAATTGGAGAGGGTTAAATTATATTTCCAAAATATCATCGATTTCCACAATTTATTAATCACATTACTATTACATTAAATATAATATCTGATTTGCACAATATAAAACAAAATCATTTTACTCAATTTATGGGTAAGAATAGTAACACGAGTTTGCAACTAGTTGATTAAAAAACAATTTAAAGGTTAAGCTACTTGTTAGAACCCTTCTCTACGTCGTTTGCTTCCTTCCTAGCAGGACTTATTAATCTGCCATATACAAAATTTGCCGGCCCTGAACAACACAAAAATGGATAGATTAGGTATGGTAATAAACCTGGAGATTTTTTACCATACAAGAACAAATAAATAGTCATGAAGAATGCGTTTGCACCACCGAGTGAGGTAAAGAAGGTGAAAAGCTTGAACTGGGACGCTTTACTAAAAGAATAATTAGGACAGGAGACGTTAATAACTTTTTAATAACATTTTGATATTGATATTATGGAATTTGTTCAGTTGAAAAAAAAAAATTTGCCGTGTTGTCATTAGAACCTTTTAAGTACTTCATCAGTTATTCATCAGTACTCAATCAGGGATGACAGTATATATGTTACGGGTCAAGTTGGTTTTTAGGTCAAGTTAAACTTGACCCGAGTCAATGATTAAATTAAAAAAACCCTGCCGACATCAACATAATTCCGGGCCACACTAATCCTAAAATTCTACTAGGGGACATTTGACCCGGGTCAAGTTTAACTTGACCTAAAAACCAACTCGACTGGTAACATATATAATATAATACTGGTGTTACATGAATTATGACCATTCTATAGTGACCTGCAAATTGCCTATTTTTGAGGCCGTCCCGGCCCGCATTTAGGGTTAAAATTTTTTTGCTGGCCCGGCCCGCATATATTTAAATTTTTTCTTCAGCCCGGCCCGGGCTGCGGGACCCAATGCAGGCCTCTACCATACTAATCATAATATTAAGAATATTTCATTACATTTAAGAATAAATAAAGGCTTACTCTGTTTCCTTATAGGTAATTAAAGTTGAAGATTGATTATATATTTCAAAAGTAGATGTAAATTGTAATGGATTAATGGCCTGCGGATTCAATGGACTGACGGTTTCTGTTTAAAAATGATATAAATGGATATGAAAAAAATCAAAAAAATTAATATCTGCGGATTTTAAAAATTAAACTTTTTTAAAAAAAGTTAAAGTTTTTAGTAGCACATTTAATAGCATATTTAGTATAATAAATTATTTTCTTTGCTTACGGATTCTTGTTGTGACACCAAAATAATTAAACAAATGCTTAGCAGACTTTTTTGCAACTGATATAACACCTTTCTTTGAAGAAGTTCCAAGATCTGAATATTTAACACGATCTGACCATATAATTTGTCTCTGCACAAATATATATTTGTTGAAAGTTGAAATAAAATTAGAACTGGTTAAATAATAAGTTTTTTTGAGTAATTAATTTTCTTTATCTTGAATGAAGATTGATAATTACCTGGTATGGTGAAAGAACATAAGCGTTAGACTCTTCAGATACAAGTTCCGACAATTTCGAATCAGCGTGTTTATTATTGTTAGTTAATAAATCAGGATCCATAATTTGTACTGAAGGGAAAGTTAGCGCGATCGGTAATGTGTCATTTGGAGACGAATTATTTGCCGAAATTTGGAAATAAACACCATATGGCAAATTTAAAACAGATCCATCGGTAAAATTTAAACCAGGATCATAGTAATAATAATGAATTGAATTGATAGATGAATCACTTTCATTAACTATTTGATTACTACAGGAAATGTCTAAGACACCAGTAGCTATGAATTTGAAAATAGAATTAACGAAACAATGAAATGAATACAAATATAAATTTTTTTAGGATTACTTACGATATAAATAAGAACAACTAACATGAATGTTAGAATAGATTGATGTATCAAAATTAAGAATAACAACTGTCAATTATAATTAATAGATTAATATGTATTAATATGGAGGTATCAAACCAAATTATTTGAAATAAAAATTACTAGGAATTGGTATTTTATCAACTTGAGTTCGATACATTTGTATATAAGGCAGATCAAAAAAACCCATAATGAAAATGTAGATAAAATATATTATAGCAAGGTAAATAAGGCAAAGTGAAGTAAATCTGGTCCAACGATAACATGCTGGCTCTCTAGGTGGGTCATAATCCTTATAATCTTCATCTGCAGGTGGAAGCCAATATTTACGAAGCTTATCACATAGCAGAATACAAGATCTTCCTTGAGTCATTTTTTTAAATATTAAGGAAACAAGAATTTGTCTCAAAGTTTAAAAAATAACGATGAGTGGGGTTTTTATATAATTGAAACGTGTGTACATACGTACAATATTTCTATAAAAAATAATTATGTGGTTTCCATCTTTTATTATAGTAGATAATTAAATTCTCAACGATAAATTCCGTCGTTGGCTGAGTTAGTCTCACGTTCTTCATTACCATTTTTAATGGCAAATGTTTCCATTCGTATAATTCTCAATCGGGCATTTCTTGTTTTATTAGACTTAATGCGTTGCATTTCCTTTTTAATGAAAAAAGGATAGCGACTTAGTGTAAACCCACCGTTACATTCTCGCGTACATAAATAGTAAGTTGGCTGATATAATTCATTTTATTACATGAATAATGATAGTTCAATGACAGTTCAATGATAGATGGAACAATCATATTATTTTCTAACTTTATAATTATTGTTGATTAGATATGTTATTATCGGAGAATTCATATCGATATGCTATTTTTGCTGGAAAAAAAACGATTTCACATTTTTTTTTTGGAAAATGCACACCTAATCAAGAATCGGTATTGGGTAAATCCGATTGATATACGTACATGTGTACACATTTAATGGTAACAGTAACTTAAAACACAGTGTGCGTACGTACGTACTGTACGTACAAATTTTCATCATATAATTTCGAACTCAGCTTTTGTATTTAAACTTTAATTTGGTCATCTCAAACATTGTTAGGTTAATCTTTTACTAGTATGAGAATAAAAGCCACAGGAAATATTATAATGGCTTCCGATTATAAATCTTACAAATCCTCCAGATGGCTGTTCATTGATAAACTTTTTTGTTTTACATTGTGAAACTTGTTTATTCAGTTCAAACTTTATCTACGTTACACATTAAAATTCGTCTAATGTATCGAAAGATTCTTTAAACTTTGACAAGGTACATCGTCGGAGTTTAAATAGCGATAAGAATTTCAATCCTAGTCCGGATATAATAGACTATATTTTACTCTCCATTAATTCATTAAATAAATAAATATGCAGGCAGTATGAGGTCTATAACTATTGTCACAGGCAGATTAGGGCTACCTCAATTCACAACAAAACCTAAAAGAAGCGACGAATTGTCGCTTGAGAACGTGGTATGTCGCGCAACGTTCCTCAACGCTTTAGAGGCGGAACGATTTGGCACTGGCCTAAGACGATAATTAAGGAGCGTTACGAGGAGAATTTGGATAGGGGGAGTGAAAGGGTCCTTAAAGAACGTTTTACTCTGTTATTTTGGATCTTTTTATTTTCGCAGAACGATTTTGAGAGTTTTTAGTAATTAGTATCTTTTTTTTGTAAGGCAGGATTGGCACACCCTTTGTTCAAGGGAAAATTCATTCTTTTTATAAAAATATTTTAGAAAATTTATCCATAATGCTAGCACATTATTTCCATTATCTCAAGCCTTTTTCTTTTACTTTCACAGCCTCTAGTTTCCCAACAACGGTTGGCATCCAAAACGCTTCCAACGTCGTTCCCCAGCTGCGAAAGATCATGCGGACGCATGATTGAGCTTGAGCACGGCCACATGCTTTTCCTAACAAGATAATATTAACACATTGACCCATTTTAACCTTCATCGTCGTCAATCGGGTTAATGCAGATCACTTTATCATTTTGGCTCTGTCAACGGTAATTGTTCTGAGGGCTTAGCGATTGCGGCAACGATCTCATGCAGCGTTGATTCGGGTATTTCTTGAAGACATGGGGGTGCAGGTTTGCCGTTAACACTACATTTAGATTGCATATCAATAGATCATTACTACGGATCAGTATTAACGTTGATGAATTTAGAAATATCAATACTCCTCAATCGGAAAATGTGTACCAACGGTGAAACCTAAGCGAAACTTTTTTAAATTCAATATCTTTCTAAAAGTGCTCTCAAGCATATTTCTCAATAAGATTTGCTAATCATCGGGATTGTGCACACAAGTATTTTGATTAATTAATCTTTATAGCAATTTGGTTATAGATTTATAGTACGAAATGTAGATAATAAATTTTTGTCAATCGGTACAACTCTATGATTAAAAAAGATGTACTCTCTCAAAAATTCTGCGCAGTATCCCATCCCTTGCCGTAATGCCGTAATATCGAGGCAATTCTTGAATGTGTGCCAGGTTTGTGGCGCAGCAAAAATTCTTTAATTAACCATAACTGCCGTCCACGACTAACGGCCGTGGATTTGCGATTTCTGGCCGGAATTAACTTTTTAACTTTTCATTCCAAAAATAGCAATTTTCAAATAGGCCCATACAATGGTAAAATTAGCCTAGTAACAATTTCAGTTGATGGGCGTTATTATTTAATTAGTAAAATTTCGTGTAATTCCGGCCAAAATTTTGGATTATCGCTCTTAGCCAATCAAAATCGAGAATCTGCTGAGACAGCTAAGGCTGATTTTTGAGAAGTGATTTTTGATAAAACGGCGTTTGCTTTGAATTTTTTTGATAGCTTACGTCTGATCTTGAAATCTGATTCGTAGTTCAGGAGGTCTGGCCACAAACCTGGCACACATTCAAGAATTGCTTCGATACTATGACATTGCGGCATTACGCATTGCGGCAAACTAAAGTATTTTCGGTAGACTTTCGGTTTCGTTAGGTACCGAAAGTACCTACTTTCGGAGCCATCCTTAGTCAAAGGTTTATTGGATTAGAAATATGCAATATTAAAAGGGTTTCTAATCCAAAATTTTGCAAGAGATTTTTTTTGCTAGTACATAGAAAGTGGTTTCATAAGCGAAATTTAAGTTACAAGCGATTTTTTAAAAAAACGTAATTTTCAAGTTACACCCGAACTTGAATTCTGAATGGTCGATCAGGGTGGCACTGGCGATGAATGATAACTCTCTTTATTTTAATCTTATACTTTTATAGAATTAAAATAAAAAAAGGGTTGTTGAGTGGTTATTGAAAAATCTTTGCTAGAAATTTAAAAAATTTATAATATCAAAAAAAAAAACTAAAATTCGGCAAAAAAATTTTCTAAACATTAAGCATAGATTTCTTGACAACCATCTATATCAGTTTTTTATTCGTGACAATTTAGAACTTCGATTAATTTCGATTAACCAATAAAATATTATTATACTAGTTATACAGGATCTGTTAGTGTCCAGAGCATATATATGTTGTGCCTCATATCCTTTCCCGCGTCAGATCGAAGATGACGCACCTCAGATGCCGATCGTCAGGTGAGGTGCGTAACTTCTAGATCGGTCACCTGAGGTGCCTCAAAGCATAATATGAGGCACAAGTTAAAATATAATCGCTTTTTTTTATTTTCGAATTTAGTACGTACATAATTTATCACTCTATGGTAAACTAATTAAAAGCAATATAATTTATTTATTTATTATAGCTTTACATATTAAATTAAAAATAAAATTCTAATTTTTATTCAAACAGGACCGCCCACTATGACATCGACTTGTGCATTTTCCTTCGACCTTTCTACATCTACACCTATTAGTATCACACGAACCCTTACAACTGCAAACAGAACTCAATACCATTCCAACACTTTGGAGCCATGATGCCTCGCGGGCAGATATTTTGCCAGGTGGAATTGTATTAAGTTCGGGGTAAATTGAAGTTCCAAGTTCTTCAAGTTCACCTGAAAAGTAACATACATTGATTGTGTCGAACTTACATCCTAGTCGGAATTGTTGCTCACCAGTTTCTTCTAAAATTTTATAAGGCAAAGAGGGGTGATCGATACCAAACTGATCTATTTTAGGAATGCTTATCCGAACAAGGTCCCCAACCTTAAAATTATTTAATTTTCTTTTCTTCAACATCTGTTTAGTCATCTTTTCAGTATATTGTTGAAGATCTTTTCGAGCAATAGTTTGTAGAATTTCATGTCACATAATATTGGAGTTTTGCTTCGTGATATCAGCTAGAACTGTATTCGGAAGTTAGTCTGAAGAATTAGATTCTATTATATAATAAAACAAAAGTCAAATTTAAATTACTTATTACCATTATCATTGGTATCAGTATTGACATCAAAAATAATGTTGGCATCAACATTAGTATTGACATTGACATCAACATTGACATCAACATCAAAAATGGTGTTGGCATTGATGTTGGTGTTGGCATCGACATTGGTGTTGGCATCGACATTGGTGTTGGCATCAACATTGGTGTTGGCATTGATGTTGGTGTTGGCATTGACATTGGTGTTGGCATTAACGTTGGTGTTGGCATTGACATTGGTGTTGGCATTAACATTAGTGGTGGCATTGACATTGGTGTTGGCATTGACATTGGTGTTGGCATTGACGTTGATGTTGGCATCGATGTTGGTGTTGACATCGGCATCAACATTGTCCAAAGAATCATCATAATCATTAGGTTGGTTCAGATCTTGATCTAAAAGATTATTATGAGTAAAGAAATAATAAATGAATAAACAAGTAAACCAATAAAAAAAAAACATGCTTTCCATATCATCATCCAAATTTAATATATTATCGATCTCGATCTGAACCGTATTTGGAATCTCCTCTTCATTATAAATTTTTTTTTTATATAATTCATTCACCAAGATGTTGCTTTCATGTGGCTTACAGCCGTAAATAAGTTCAAATAGTGTTTTTTTATAAGAATGACACCATGAATTATTCATCATGATGACAACAAATTTCAAGCCAAATGACCAGTTCTTATGACCAGTATTTTCTTGCCACTTTCCTAATTTTTCTGCAATATTCCATTTACTCATTCAATGAGCCCTTGTGATTGGGGGTGGCAGGGTCTTCCATTTATTATAGTTACAGATGGCCATAACTCAATCAGTTTTTTAATGACTTGAGCAACGAACTCCTTTCCATTATCCAACTGTAGAATCATCGGTGATGATCCAAGTGAATTAAAAAGTTCAAACAGGTACACTGCAATCTTGATTGCTCTTTTAGAAGTAAGGGCCCTTGCCTAGGAAAACCTGGTAAAGTAATTCCTTAAGTGTCAAATATATTTAAATTCTTCATCTAGATCAAAAGATAAGTTAATTAGATCCATCTGTAATAAAAAAAAAAAATTTAATTATAAATATAAAATGAAAATATAAATTATCCAAAGTAAGTGATGAATTACCTGGATACGTGACAAAAAATTATTAGCTATTATTGGCTTGGCTGCTAGAGGGTGAAATGCAGGCTTACAAACAGCACACACAGTGCAATTATTGACAAACTTTTCAATAATATCCTGCTTGATCCAGCTCCACCTTTCATGCACAGACTTCCACGTCTGTTTTTGTCCTCCATGTTGCGTAACCTTACTATGAACTTGACAAAGAACTTCATAAAATTTTTCCTTTACTAAAACAGGATTACTTGTCTCTTTTTCAATTACTCTATGATCACCAGATGTGATCTCTTCAAGCTGGAATTTTCTCTTGGCCTAGCTGCGAGTGTTTTTATTATATATTGTATGATTTTTAGGGTTTAATAAAATAGTTTTTATTTTCACCAAAAACTCATAGTCAATTAAAGCTTTTTCGTGTTTTGATTCAGAAAGTTAAGTATATAATAATTTACAATTTGTTCTAAGGTGTTTCTACTAATGAAGGTGTATTCCATATTTAATGAAGATTAAAGAACTCAATGAGCCTAAGAAAAGTTTTTTTTTTTTTTTTGTAATGTCAAGAGGCCAAAAAATAAACAAAAACCATGCAAAAGACTTATATACCCATTTGGCTCTGACCAATTTACATTCAGTTGCTTGAATTCATCTTTGAAACATTCTTACAAACATATTATTATTATTTACTATTATTTACTATCATTTACTACATATTGATTAAAAATTAATAGAATTACAAACTTTTTGCATGATAAATATCATAATTTTTTTAATTGTTATTGTTAAATGATTATCTGCATCATATTACAGTTTGAGGCACCTCAGGTGACCGATCTAGAAGTTACACACCTCACCTGATGATTGGCAACTGAGGTGTGTCATCTTCGATCTGATGCAGAAAAGGATATGAGGCACAATATATATACTAGATTAATAATCTGTTGAATTGCAAAATGAAGTAAGATATAAATATCGATATTTATTTCAATGACTTAACATATGCATGTTTGTTTTTGCAGTTTATATTTTTTAAATCCTGCTATGTTGATATTACTATGGTCAAAATTGTTAATCATTTTACCAGATCTAAAATTGATTTGTTCTAGATTTTGCTGAATGATCTGCAAATTTGACCAGAATTATAAATGATGGGTTTTTCTATTTATTAGTAAGCTTATGCTACAATAATTATAATTAGGTAGCTGCACAATGCAGTTACGCCAGAACTAGGAATGGGAAGCTTTACTTGGGTTAATAAATATATTAATTATAATATATATTAATAAAATAATAAAAAAGAAAATTTTAGTCAATTCTTTAAAAATTTAGATATGATTATTGTAACTAATTTCATGAATTATTTTGTTGACAGCCATTTTATCAATAAAGTTTGAGATGACAAGGTTGGCCTAATAAATTGTTTGCGTTGGCTAGAGGTAGATTGTCGATGAATCTTACAAAAGCGTTAACTATGTACTGTATGTATGTGCTTTAGGTCAGTGTTTTAAGCAGATTTTAAAGCATAAATAATTAACTTAAAAAGGCCAGACTACAGTTGTTAGGTGAAACCTAGAGGTTTCACCAATAAAAATCAAAAAGATGAAATGACAAAACTGGCGAAACCTGGCGAAATTGGCAAAACCTGCGAAACTAGCGAACCCTGGCGAAACTGGTAAAAACATAGCACAACAAAATTGTTACAGCAGATTCTGGTACCCTTATGCCAAGTGAAAATCGACCTCCGACCTTAAAATTTCTGGTCTGGCACCAATAAATAATGATATCTTGTGTAACAAAGCAAACAACAAAAACAGCAAAAAAATTTTTCTTAAATGAAGCCAAATTTTATTATGCACCAACTTCCAACTTCTATTAGCATTAAAATTTACATATAGCACTTACTCTTTCACATCACTTGAGATAAAGATACCTGGCAGATTCTCGATTTATTGGCTAAGAGCGATGATAAAAAAATTTGGCTAAATTTTACAGTCACTCATTAAATGAAAATTGTTTCTGGGCTAATTTTACCATTTTGTGGATTTATTTCTTTAAAAATTTCTATTTTGAGAATAAAAAAGTTAAAAAATGTAATTCTGACCAGAAATTAGTAAACAGTTATGTAATGTGGGCCAAAATTTTGCAGATCTACACCTGTTTTTTTGACTGATGATTTAACTACTATTGCTGCAGCTATGTATAGTAATTAAGAATTTTTGCTACGGCACAAACCTGGTACACATTCAAGAATTACTTTGATTACAGCATTATGGCAGATAATATTTATGGCATTCAGGTACTGCCATAATACTGTAATTCAATAATTCTACTATCACATATAGCTCTAACCTTATATTTACACAAAATACATATATAATTACATTAAAAATATTTGATATATATATAATGTTTATTATCAATAGTCAAATTTTACCATTATAAATAAATAATTGAGGTTTAAAACTAGCTAATAAGCATTAGTAAATGAATTTTAATTATAATAATATTAATGAACTACTTACATATATATGGTACTTAATGTTTTAATAAAATGTTAAAGAAAAAAAAACAACAATTTAATAAATTTATTTAAAATTTAAATTAAAACTTTTATGTTTATTTATATGAATAATATTAATACATAGATAAGTGATTCTAAAAGAAAATATTTAAGCTTTGAATTTCAAAACTAAGGATATTTAATTATAAATTCTAAAACCCATGTTCTAGCTTTCCTTTAATAGTAATTGAATACAAACAAATGGTTATTATTTTGTTTATTACTTTGTACAATTTTTATGTAAAATATGTGCAAATTATTTTTATCAAATGTTTGAATTCTAATTTTCTTTTAATAGTATTTGAATACAAACAAAAAGCTATTGCTTTCTTTATACATTTTTTATATAAACTACTTGTTGCACTTAATAACTATGCAAAATATTTCATTCATCCACATGACTTAGTTTTTTTCAAAGTTTTAGAGAATTTGATATTTGCTAAGTTTTAAATTTTGCTTTTGTCAGGGATTATGCCAGTTTTATCAGATTTTACCAGATATTGTCAGTTTCATCAGGTATTGTCAATTTTACCAAGTTCATCAGTTTTACTAGGGAGTTTTGTCTTTCATCTTTTGCCAGATTTAGGTTTCATCTTTTACTATTTGTCTTTTGTCTCTTATCAAGAAGATGTTTTAGTAATAATACAATAAAAAATAACTTATGGGTTTTTTGTTTCTTTTGCTTTGTGCAAACTTCTAAATATAATGCAGAATTTAAAAATATTGATAAATGAGCAGATAAATAGTACACTCTACTAATCATATCTACCCAAGCATAATGTCTGCAATTACATAAAGATTACTTCTTTTTTTTTATGACTGTCATTAAGACAGATTACTTATTAAAAAATTGAACTAAAGATTTAACTGTTGTTCTTACAAGCTACTCACTAAAAAATTGAACTAAAGATTTGTCTGTTGACTTGACAGACTGAATCTACTGATCAATATATATAAAAAGCTTACAATGCTTTCTTGTGACTGTCATCTCAACAGGCTGTCTAACTAATGCTAAAACTTTAACTATTGTCCAACAGGTCAAGCCCTGTTAAGATCCAAGAATTTTTTACAACAATATTTGGTTAGCATATATAAGTGTGAATAAGAGTGAGATAAAAAAACTAGTCAAAGTCAGGTTAGCAGAAAAAACAAAAATTCTCTTGTCTGAGAAAACTTTATCCTCTTTTTAAATATGTTTTAATGATTACTAATCCAAACTAATCAAAAAAACTAATCAAAAAACTAATCAAAAAATAAAAACCTATATAATTAAGTCATTACTCTAACAAACTCTAATGACATAATTACATTATTATTGTAACTAACTCTAATGATCACTAGATCAAAAGACTATCTAACTATGCAGTTATATTAATAAATTCAACAAATATACTTCATAAATATGTAACTTTTATGATAGATTCTATCATTACTAATTAGGCAAACTAACATTATTATTCTCTTAAATCATGTCACATTAGTCATGCAATCAAACATGATATCAAATTCAATTAATTAATTCTACTTCATGTTTGATTCAAGACAAAATGCTGCTCTGATACTTAAATATTAGACAACAAATTTTGGCTCTTATCAAGAAGGTGTTTTAGCAATAATATAGTAAAAAATAACTTATAAGTGTTTGTAGAGTATTATTATTTGATGTATAAAAAACCCAGTCATTCTTCTTTTTTTTTTTTTTTAGAATCTCATTAAATGTGAAGCCTTTAATTTTGCTGTACTAATGGCCTGCATGTACAGTTGTACTACTTTTGATGTTTGTCTTCCAATTAATTAAATTTGCTTTATTATTATGCCCTATTTCATTGCTGCTGTAGCCCTTCCAATCTTCAAACTATGTATATAATACTTCTCTTTCAATTCCACATTCTCTGAAAATCACCTTACAATTGCTAATATTGCTGCCATGAACAATTTTCCCACAGTTTTCAATAAAAACACTGGTTTTTCTGGTTTTGTCTTAGGTTTTATTCTTAAATATCAACTTAACAACCTAATCAGGCACATTTCACTCATTATTCTTTCAATTAGAATAAACTTACCCTTGCTTAGCTGGTCTGTCTTTGATCTTAAAACTCTAATTCATAACTTTTTATCTTTTTTTATAATATCCAAACATCTTAAATTATACAATTCACTTAGCTTATGCATAACTCTCAACCCTAAAGCCACTAATGCTATATCCTGAGCCCATATTATTATACTAACTCCTAACAGGAGATGCTCAATGTACTATCTTATAGTTGCTACTGGTAACAGATCTCTTAACTATTTGACTACTGTTTTTTTATATACTAATAACCTTTTTATATCTTCCATGATTAACTGAACTGTATTTTCTTTCATTGGATCACTCAGATTTCTTTTCTTAAGTTTTTTTGCCACTACCACCAATTACATAGAACCTTTGCTGATCTACCTAAAGAATTTAACCAAGCCAAAAAGCCATCAACAGCCTCCCTGAAGCTGAATATGACACCAAATCTATTTCAAAATCAAAGTTCTCAAAAACAATTTGAGCCTTCTCTAAATGCTTCCTATATGTATCACAAATAGACTTATTCATCAACATATTTGCTTTTTTTAACAGTTTTCTGACTAATCTATCAGTACTGCTCTTAAACACCACTAGGCATTCCTGCAAAGTTTCAAATTTCCTAATGATTCTGATTGGATAATCTGGTTTGGTAATGACAAATTGATCTCTTTCTTAAATGTGTTTACAATTAATAGCTACCACAGAACAGAAACCCATATTGGAATTATGATTACTATTTATGCTCTGCATTTTCTTGCATAACACAATGCTCTGTGAATTTGACCAAAAAGAGGATATACATAGTTTCTTCCTTTTGCCCAATTTAAAGTAAACCAATTTACTGCATCTGTTTCTAAACAAAAAAACAGGCTGTTGAACTTCTTGGGCTTCATATTTAGATGGCTTGCAAATCTGTTAACTCCAAATTTTTTTTACAAACTTTTCAAATGACTTACAATTTTTGGGTCCAGTAATCAGTCCTCTGAGTCTGTTATTCTTGTCAGAAAATATGCTGGGTTTAGTTTGCTCAGGATCCACTATGTACTAAAAATTTCAATATTATTCATTATACAAACTTCCTAAATCTGCTTGTAATATCCTTCTGCTACTCTGTAACACCTTCTTTTAAGACCATTCACAATGCTATTCTGTTGTCTATGAATAAGGTTATTCAAAATCTATTTAGAAAACCCTTGAATAATTGCAGTACTTTTAATACTTCTAGCACTTCTAATTGTACTATAAACTTTGCTATATAGGGCTAACTCCAACTTCCTACTGCTTTGTGCTCTTGAAAAACTCTATACCAACTAATTGTTAATACATTGATATAAACTACCTTATTTGAAAGAGTTTTAAGACTGGACATCTGTTCCATCTTTTCAAATTTTCTACCAACTAATAAATATTTTTGACAGCCTGTGCTGATAACTAAATTCTGTTATCCCATTTCTATATACAATAGTTTTTTGCATTTATAAGTTTGTAAAACTCTATGCATTTTATTTGACTTGGAAAAAAGACTTTTGCAAGACTTATCACCTTGCCAGCTACCAAAGTCAGGTTTCTTATCATAACTGTTGATGCTTTTAACAACTCTTCTAGCTTTGATCTTGTTAATATGATCTTTTCTTCTAAAACCATTATAATCCCATTTAGCATATTCATCACCATTCTCCAAAACTTTAATTTTTGAGTTAGATTTCAATTTTCTTTTTTTTTGTCTAAATCCAATTACATCCTTTTAAGTTCTCTCTTACAACATCTTCTCTTACTTTTAATAAAATTTCTTTTACTGGATGAGACATACAAATATCATCAAGATGGCTTTTACAAAAGATCTTTTGTGTCTGCCACTTGCCAATTAGTGCTCTTATTAGTTTGGAAACACTCATAGAGCTTGCTTAGACCAAAGAGCAGAACTCTGTATTTGTATCAAACTTCTTTGACCATAAACCCCAACAGCTTCTGGGCCTTCATGCCTATTAATATGTGATGATATTTATCCTTAAGGTCAAAAAAATTGCTACCAGCTTCACCCAACTGTTCACAACAGACCTTCAAATTCTTTAAAGTAAAATAAGTTTTGTGTCAACATTCAATTTAGTCTTTTTAAATTTATTACTAACCAGAACTTCTTAGAACTCTGTTTTGAAATTAGGAATATTGAACTTACCTCTAACAGGCCTAAAAGGCACCTCTTCTCTTCATTCACTCTTACTATTTCTTCAAATTCCTTCAACCTTATTAATTTATTCTTTAATCAAAGTTTTCATTTCTCTGTAAAATGATATAACCTTTAATTTAATGCATTTGTTAACTGTATTAGGCACTTTAAGAATAAGAGAATTTCTTTTTCCAACCACTTTAGTACCAACTGGGACAGTTTTATTACCTTATTCTAATACTTCACTGCTTCCTTCCTGTGAATTCTTTTTGTTATACATAACTCTGTTTTTACTTTTTCTCTTCTTACAGCCTCCTAAGTGTTGTTAACTACTTCTTTGTTAGGCATTATCTCTATAAAAAAGAGCTTTTTGAAACTATACTTATTTGTGAAATGTTCTTTTTCTTTATATACATAACAGATCACCTCACTTCTGCTATATCCCCTGCCCTTTTTCAATCTTCTGAGCTACTGGGAAATTGGTTAAACTGATTGATATTGTGACTGTGATTATGTAACAGCTTCTGACACCAACATTGGCTTCCAATTTGTGCAGCTTGTGAAGTTGATTGAACTGGTAACAGAGTGGCTAGCATGAAGCCTCCAAACTGATTCTGAAAGCCCAAATGCTAACCTAAATGTTAAGGCTAAAAAGTTGTTTGCTAAATATATAGTTGCATCTGTACAACTTAAGCCACAGAAAAACTGCCTATCTAAAAGGCTGATGCTTGCTACTAGAATTGATCAAAACATGGGTACTAAGAAGTTTTCAACCTTTTAGTTCAAATGAAATACTGTACTACCAACCTGGCACTCTTCTGTTTGCTTTTTAATAACTCTGACATAAGATCAGAACTACTTACAACTGCCATTTTCAAGGCTACCTTCCATCTGTCTTTGTTAGCTACCCTTACTACATAGGCCTTTTTCAGGGCTACTTGTCTTGCCAAGTGCACATATCCAAAATCACCAAAGGCTAATACCTTGTCTAACAGTGCTCCTGCTTTACACTACTCATTATACTCCTACTGGTTATATTGCTTTGATAACTTACATTTTGTCTACACATTCTTATACTCAAAATTCTCTAAACATAATAGATTTAATTCTGTTTCCTGACCAAGAACCTTGCCTTCCTATGCATAACCAGTCAGAACATTCTAACCTACCATACCTAACTTATTACCCATACTCATAGCAGTTTCCCTACCCATCCTTGCCTGCTATATTTTGTTGTTCCACTATTGCAACTCTTAGAGCTCTTCCAAAAAATCATCATCCTGACCTTCTGCTGACTGCTGTCATACTTTTTTCCTTTTTTTAGTCCTGCTTGTCTCTTCAACAGACCCCTCTGGTCCTGCTTTATTTTGAAACTCTTTTGCTAGTCTGACTAAAATTTCCTGCTTCTGACCCATTTCTGATACACCTATACCCTGACAAATAATTCTCAATGATTCCAATGATAACTGGTTTAAATTAGATTCCAAACCCACTTGAGCTGTTTTTGAGAGTTGGGGACATTCAATAAGTGACAGGTTCGGCCAATATATTTTTCCTTCCTTTATTCCCTCTACTATCTATTAATTTGCACTCTGCTATTTATTTAATATATTAAGCCAAATCAAGTAACACGTAGCAATAATCTAACCATCAACGATGTGTTATTTAATTATATATATATATATTATTATTATTATTTTTAAAAACTTGTTTATTTCTTAATGTATCTTAAAATTATACGAGACAAATTGTAGAGTATTACATGAAAAAACCAGACAAAGTCAGGTTAACAGAAAAAACAGAAATTACCTTGTCTGGAAAAACCCTATCCCCTCTTTAAATATGCCCTAATGATTACTAATCCAAACTAATCAAAAACTAATCAAAAAACTAATCAAAAAACTAATCAAAAAAAAAAAAAAAAAACTACGTAATTACGTCGTTACTCTAACAAACTCTAACGACGTAATTACGTCGTTACTGTAACTAACTCTAACGAGCACCAGATCAAAAGACTATCCAACTATGTAGTCATATCAATAAATTCAACGAATATACTTCATAAATACGTAACCTCTATGATAGACTCTATCATTACTAATCAGGCAAACTAACAACATTATTCCCTTAAATCATGCCACACTAGTCATGCAATCTAGCACGATATCAAACTCAATTAATTAATTCCACTCCGTGTTTGATTCGAGACAAAATGCTGCTCCGGTACTTACGTATGAGGCAGCTAATAAAATGGTTTCGCCTAACAACACTAGGCCAGACTAAACAAGACGGACTCTGGTTCAGTCGAATAACATGCACAACCAAGGCAGTTATAATTATTAACAATTTCTAAAAGGGAATTTACAAGAATTAGTAGATAATGCCAAAGTTAGTGGAATAATAATAATAATTTTCAATTTTATAGTAAATACCAGGAAAAATAAAAAGAGATGGAATGTAAAGATCTTCAGGGAGCATAATTTCTATTATTACTTCAACTCTTGTTCCAGCAGGAATTGGACACAAATTGTTATTTCCAATACAGATTTTCTGAGAATATTTATATAAGGGAAATAAATAAGATAGACTTGTGACTACGATCTCAAAATTGTATTCTGAAGTAAGAGTGTCCGGTAATACACTAGTAAAGCTAAACGTGATATTCTTTCCAGCAGTAGGAGTTCGTGGAGTAGTTGTCATCTCAAGTATTGAAAAACATTCGATGATCGGTTAACATCATGACAATATACCGGTGGGAAAGTAGAGTACTGACCATAGAATGTGTATTTAATAAAATTAGTAGATATGTTAAATATTGAATCATGATGCTTTGAAGCAATTTAAGCGATATCAAGTAAAAAATTTCATCGAAATTTATATTTACTACATCGGATAATCAATTAAGAATTTAACATAGCAAATATTAATAAGGACAAGATCCATTAACTACTATTTATTAAAATTAGATTCCAGCAAATAATTCTTTTTTCTCAATCGAAATAAATTGATTCATACGAAATTAATATCTTTGTTTCTATTATCATATCTATCAATTTAAAATTAAAACTCAACGTTCGTATGAGTTGTTAATTTTATTGCATAAACAACCTTATTATCTTCCGAATTTAAAAAAATTTTATTCATTATTATTTAGAAAGTTACTATTTTCATATGAACCAATGAAACTTTTATAATGAAATTAGTGTTTGTGCATGTCCTAACATTCATACATTATTAAAACCAGATTATTCTTGGTATAGTTGACACATAGAGCTAGGATTAATATTTACCAGAAACGGAGTACAATATACGTATAGTTCAGCTGTACCAAGAACCGACATTACGAATAGCAACGGTGTATGGTATAGTAAAGTAGTGGAGTATATATAAAATAATATATGTAAAGCATTTAACTATTATATTCTATATATGATCTCATGAGAACTCTACGGAAATTTATTTATTAAAAATATAATAAAAAATACTAAATGAGACATAACCAATAAGTAACTGAAAACATTATTTTACAGCTGCATTCACATTTCACGATAGTGTAAAATTTTAAGAAACTGATTATATTCAAATACAGAATTAGATTAGTATTAACTGTAACTTTATAACACGTTTCTTGGGGGTTTTGATTCTCAGCTGTAATCCGGAAGGACATGATTATATTGAGATTTGGCATCATTTGAAGATCTAAAAAAGACATAGTCAAAACAATGTAAATTACCCTGATGATTACCATCATTTGGAAGTCTAAAAAGAGCATCTTTTGATTTATCAGCTGTGATCTGAAAGAACACAACATACACTAATGCCTGTCGTCATTTGAAGGTCTAAAAAAAGCATCTTTTTGATTATTGGCTATGATCAAGAAGAACACACTAATCTCTGCCGTCATTAAAAGTATAGAAGACACTAGTATTTTTACGGAAAATTATGGGAAGATAGGTCATGTGTTCAAAAATAAATACATCTAATATGACGGGTATTTAATAGAAAATAAAACAGCAACAGTGCTAAACTACCAATCAAATTTCAAGAATGGGTGTAATTTTCCAGTGATACAAAATTACGACTTTGATATTTTTATAGAAAATATCAAAAAGGTAGCTACGCTCGTTTGATTATCACCCTTATTTCGTTTCCTAGTATAAAGCGTAGGATTCTGCTGAAAAATTGTTATACCGTGGCTAAGGGTTATGGCCGGTCAATAACCGGTCATAACCGTAACCGATATCGGTCAGTCAAAGATTTGTGACCGACCAGTTAAAATCGTGACTGATACTATTTTAGCGATGTTAATTGATTTATTACAATGTTTATTATTATATTACGCAATAATAAGCGATTTAAAAAATATTAAGTTTAAATTATTTTTTCTTGGTGTTAATCATACGTAGAGATGAGCGCAATGCCATAATTGGTTAAATTATAATGAATTTATGGCATTAATTGTTGTAAATTTTAACTAAGATAATACGTTGACACGGGCGAAACGGCGAGTTATTCGCTTGACAGATGGATACGTCGTGTAACCTACGAACGGCTTAGTCGATAAG